AAAGTGGCCGTCTATGGAAGAATAGCTGCCAGCCTGGCCACCAAAGTCCACATGTGAACCCAGGAGCAGGTTTGCATGAAAATCAAGTTGGTCCAGTGAGACCACCAACCCTGAGCTTCCCCTCCCCCTTCTTCCCCTTGTTTCCCCTTTCCAGCTCCCTCCTCCCAGGTTTCTCCCTCTCCTCTCCCATCCTATCTCTTCCCCTCCCCTGCCTCCTTTCCCCAGTCTCACCAAAGTTTCATTCTCTCCCCCCCCTTCAGTTTTGTTAAATAAAGAGAGTTTGTGTTCATGAAAACACATGTATTTTATTTGACATCAGGAAGGGGGGTTAGGGAGGGATAAGTGGAAGGACACGAGGGAGGAATGAGGCACAAACCCCCAGTGGGGTAGACCAGGGAGGCTCTTCATGCTCCTCGGTGTGAAAGCTCTCCCGCCGGGCCTCCTGGATACTGACAGCCCCCCGATGGACCTCCCAGATGGTCTCTCCCAGATGGCAGCCAGCAGAAAGTACAGCCAGGATTGCAGCAACATGTGCAAGAGAAGCACCAGACTGCCTAGGGGCAGCTCTGGCTCCATGTTGCAGAGTGCTGTGGTGTCCCGAGTGAGGACACCCAGAGCACACAGAGACAAAATGCTTTGCTGTCCCTCATCAAGGTAGGCAAGCAAGCAGGGAAACCTGAGAACTGGCTGTCCAGGGAAGGTCCCTTAAAGCACAGGCCTCAGATAGCTTCTGGCAGCAGCCACGCAAAGTAACTCCTGACCTGATACCCTGGTTCCGGCTGGCCTTAAATGCAATTCAGTGTCCACTCAGCATGGATGCACTATTTCGAAATAGTAAAAAGCTATTTCGAAATGCATTTTGTGTGTAGATACGTTATTTCGAAATAAGCTATTTCAAAATAACTATTTTGAAATAACGTTGTAGTGTAGACATACCCCCACTGGCCTCAATGAAATTTGGACATGGGCAAATGTGTGATCCCACATGGTTTTCAGGATCCGTCAGCTGCAGATTTTAATAAGTCCCTGCATGCATATCTTGTGCACACAAGTACCATGATTGGTACAAGTTGCACATATTTCTCAGAGGGTTAAGAAAATAGAGGCTTTATTCCCTGCTCTATTAGGGTCTCCCTGGATGACCTTAGGCAACTCAATTCATTTTTTCTGTGCCTCTGTCCAATTGCAAAATGGGTACAAGAATATAATCCTAGCTCACAGAGGTCTTGAGAGGATAAATCCATTAAAGTTTGTGAGCAGCTCAAATACTTCAGTGAGAAATACCATAGAAAAACCTATAAATAAATAAATCTTAGTAACTGTGCAGCAAAATGGCTAGCTGTGTCTCAGTAATTGCATGTGCACAATTTAGAATCTGGTCATCTATTTTTAAAAGCATTTCAGTTAACCTTTAAGAATATTTACCCTTATTTTGATCCAGGATAGTAATGCTGAATCCTTTTTACTTCTTAGCCTCAATATTCATTTATGATGTTTTATACCCCTTGCTCATGTTAAGCAAATAAGATATGTCCTTTAAAAACAGTTGATTTATTTCAACATTTTTATACTAAAAGTAAGCACTGGATGGGGGTACAGTATTTACAATTTTAAGTAAAAAGGAAGAGAAACATGCTCAGTGGCTATATCTTAAAGGGACAGTACATATTTTTCTTCTGAGGAAAGTAGGATGTTGTAAGTAACTTCTTAATGAGATTCCATTATATAATTATATTTAGAGAGAAATTTAGGAATTTTTTTGCCCCAAATCTGGCCAATCTCATCCAGGGGAAATTATGAACACCAGTGATGTTATTGCTTGGATAAATGAGATGTATCAGCTCCTTGTATTAAATAAAAGCCATTTAAATAGATGCATAAATCTCATTATTCTGGCAGGAGGTATTAGGGTACAATGAAAGGCATTTGATAGTTATGATAATGGTTTGCAAGATAACCTTAAATCCAGTTTGACATAAGCTCATCCCTTTTCAGTTTCTGGACATAATTATAACAGTCTAGAATGTTTCTTCTTATAGCCAGCTACCTATAAAGCACTAGATAGCTAGGCACTTTACAGCTTAGAACTTTCACTGACAAATAGTAGTTGACTGACAAATGGTTTATAGAATGAGTAAAGTTTGTGATTCCCCTGACTTTCAGGAACACAATATATTTTTGTTTCCAGTAAAAGGTTTATCCATGGAATTTGGTTGAGATAACTTATTTTAAAGTCTGAAAGTTATAACGTGAGACATTTCTGCTACTAAATCTCCTAAGTCTTAAACAATGCTTTTGTTTTCTAGAACACTTCTATATTTCTTGTAATAAACACATAGCGCAAACATACTCCCTATATAAAAACACTCAAGCCCATATTGTGGCTTTAGGCTACTTGTGGCATTGGAAAGAGGTAAAGAGCTATTTTGCAATGGGAATCTACATAGGAATCCTGGATTAATTTCTATAGATGTTCTGACTGGAGAAATAGCTCTGTTGCCCCATTAAAGGCTACTGCATGGGCCCACTTCATGCTGGCTCATTTTTACTAGTCATTGCTGAAGTGGATCAGGGCCATAGACTACCTCTTTCCAGAGACTTACTGGTGTTCTCTCTTCTCTGAAATGGTGGCTGGTCCTTACATTGTTCATGTGTTACGGTGAAAGGAAAGAAAAGGAAAAGGGAAAGGAAGGAAAAAAGGAAGGCTCTTAGCATATTCCTCTCCCCTCATGTATCAGCACAGGACCAGAGATTACTTGTTTTATGTTTTATCCTTGGGCTAAAATAGCAAGAGAACCCATGTTTCACATTTGTTTAAGTATTTCTAAAACTGAGGTGAGAACTGTGCGACTTCAAGTCAGTCACATTGATATTAGTCACATGAGTAAGATTTAGAGCCACTTTGACTGCTTTCTCTGTTATCACACATGCAATTTTTCAGGTTTGGGTTTTAGTAGTTATGGGACCATATTTCCTCAGATTTGTAGTATAATCCTCCTAAATAAACCATGCCAGAATGATAATTTTAGATAAAATAGTGGAGCTGGATGGATTTAATCTCTTCTTCTAATAAGTCATTTTGGCATTCTCTAGACCTACAATAAATTGAGAAAAGATATGGACTAAAATCATTACTATGGTATTTTATCATTAAATGAACACAGACAGAACTGATTTTTCCCCTCTTAATCCACCTAATATTGTTTTTAAAGAAATACAAAACAGGATTTATTCTCAAGATATAGTTGACTGATCTTTAAAACGTTAAAGTAAGGGCAAAAGCACTGTAATTACTAGCTTTCAACCTTTCAGACATCTCAGATTGCCTCAGAATTTCGGAGACTAATGTTGAAACTATTCAGTTATTCTCTTCCTCCAACCTTTCACACCCTCAAACTATACCTAGGACATAAGACAATATATATATTGGCTCATATTCTACCAGTTAGAAAGCCCTCAGACATACTTGTCTCATCTCAGCAAAATGAACAAAATAACCCATACATGGACACATTTTCTCCTTTCTCCCCCCCCCCCCCCCTGAGCCATCCGACACGGCCATTAAAGATGAAGAATTAAAGATGGCATCGGTCGGTGAGGCAGAGCTTTTTTTTTTACCACCCCTAGAGTAGAGATTTGGGAAGGCGAGATGGGTAGTGGCCAAAATACTGCTGCTCATTCATAGGTAATATCACTTTGCCCTCTGACAGGCAGCTTGACATGGCACCTAAAAAGAGTGGTTTAAATCTTTGGCAGTAGAACCAATTACTTGAAAATAAACCAACACAGCAATAGTTTTATCAGAATAAGGAAGGCCGAATTGTGTTGGTGGAGGAAAATACAAGAGAAGTCCAGATTCTTTCATAGGCTTGTATCGTTCATTATAGTCAGAATTGTAGTTGTGACAATCAAATTTTTAAAAAAGAGGATTTCACTGCTATTTATACATATTAGAACTAGAAAAAGAAACCAGAGTTATTACACTTTCAGTACAATGTAGCTTTATTTTTCCAATATTTTATATAACCAGGTCCAATTCGGTCTTGTATAAGTTCTTGGATGTTCACTACTTTTCCTGAGAACAGGCACTGTATGGCAACTGGCAGCACAGTTTTCAACTCCATCCTCCAAGTCTAGAAAAAAATAACTAGCAGTACAAGCATAATTCAAGTCTCTACAGCTAGTCAGTCTTTGACCTTTTTATTGAGACAGCCAAAAACACCAATTAATGTCAAGTATAGTGGTGTTTTTAGTGAGAAATGTGCAGCATTATAATTGTAAGCTGTCATTTTAAATTTCAGGGGGTTTCCTGGGCCTGCTTTCAGGCTAAGGGACTCTATAGGGATGCATGTGATCTGAGAGAATAATTCAGCTAGGAAAGAGGCAGCTAAAACAAAGTGCTACTCTGAATTTGGGACCAGCTTGCTTCTCTCATTGTTTTGGGGTCCTTCTGGATTATCATTCTGAATTCTAAAAAGTAAAGCAGTGTGACAGTGAGACTTTCCAGCAACCTCATTTGTTTCTTGTTGAATTTCTTTGTGTGTGCCATGAACATCATTATAACCATGCACATCCACAATAGCCCCTCAACTGGCTACTGAATCTACACCCTTCCAAGGTGCATATACCTGCATACACCTGATCTTATTCGGGGCAGAACTCAGATAAGTGTTTGACTTATCATAGTCACGGAACCTAACAGGAGGGAGAATAAAGACAGAGAGAGAGAGAACGAACAGCCAATTGAGCTTTTTTTCTGTCCACTAGGAAGGAGAAGGATATAAAACCTTTCATTGTGATTCTCTAAAAGCTAATATCCACTACAGGAAATCTGTTGATTTGAGCTGATAATATATCATAACCTATCATCTCTAATTTTTGCAATGAGCACACAGCTTGTATAAAGGAGTAAAATATTGTGATTTTATAAACAGAAGGAGAATGATGAGCTTCTTCTTCTAAGGCTGATAAATAATTAAAGTTTACCTTCATTTCTTTAGGTGAGGCACCTTTTGAAATCTTAAGAGCTCCCTGCAGCAACTGAGGGAGTAGCTATCTGAGCACTTTAAAGAAAAAATGTTCCTAGAGACTTTCCCAAAGGCATATGCTGGATTTTGGGTAAGATTTTCCTTCCCTGGATATACTTCTTATGTGAATGTTCTGATATGCATCTGATGTGACTATTTAAATGACAAATCATGGAGGAAATTGTCCAATATATTCGTTTCATCTGCCTCTTCCGAAGAGTTGTAGGGATTCCTATTACTTCAGAAATTCAGTGCAATTTTCTTTCAATTATCTAATAGCAGATCCAAAAGAGAAGACATAGTAAAAAGGCAATAGCAGCAAGTTTTGAACCTTCTTTAAACTTACATTTGCCTGCCCAATTTCTCTCCATGTAGTAAGATTGCTTAGTTCTAATCATAAAATATCAATATTAGTGCATTTGGTTGATATTTCTACTTCCTGGTTCATCGACTAGATGAGCATCTGCATGGTAAATCTTGTGTTTATCCTCCAGGGCTGCCTTATCAGTCAGCTAGCAGAGACAAAAGTTATGCAAGTTCCCTTAATTGTTGCCTAGAGTGCTTCCCAAAGGGTTATAGAAGGATCCATGGAGCTCTTATTAAAAGGCAGACATCCCATAATTGTATCTGAGATCTAAACAATGCATGTAAGGCTTTTAAAAATTCAGACATTCAATTTCCATCTATATTGTTTGGGAAGAACAAAGCTCAGGGCAATATATTTGTATAAATATATAAAAAGTTCAGAGTTAAAGTTACACTTAAAATAATACAAGCAAAGGCCACTCACAAAGATAGTAATAATATATTATGAAGATGGATAGCTAACAGTGATGGCTTTCACTTAAATAGATAAGAATTGGATTATATAGTGGATTTAGTTAGGCTAACAACTGTAAGTTACAAAATGAAAAAAATATTGATTTGGATATTAATGAACAAATTTTTAAAGAACCTAAAAAGATGCGTATTGATAACCTCCAGATGTTTGATACAAAATCTGAAATGAATGAATAGGCTTCTATGAGAGGAAAGGCTTTTAAACTAAGTTTGGGGTAGGATCAAGAGAAAAAGCCTATTTGGAATTGAAACACCTACACTAAAGTATTCTTGGCAAATTTTATTAAACTGGTATTAAGCGGGGAGGGAAAATGTTAAAAGAATGTTGTAATTTCCTCCTCCCCCTTAAACAAATATCAGAAAATAGGAAAATGTAGACATGAGAAATACATTAAAAATGAAATATAAAGTAAAATAATCTCCAAAGTCATCCAAACAACTTAACTCTGCCATTTGCCACTTACTGGTAATTTTCCATCCAATATGCTTGTTCCTCCTTTTGCTTTTGACGGAAATATTTGGGCAAAGATAGTTCAGATGAGGGATTTAAAAAGCTTCCATCTTGTGGCTGCCAGTATCAAATCTACTGAATTCACATTATTTTAATGATTTGCTTTTGGAGTAGAGGAATGCTAAAGAGCATGGATATCGTTTCAAACATACTTGTCTATGCTATGTGCATGATCACTTGCCACTCTGTGCTTCTGACATGTAAGTGTTTTAATTTTAGTCTGGCCTTAAAGAGGTTTGCAGTTCCAGGTACAACAATGATAATGTGACGTGTTATGAATATTGTACTATTCATAGTACAATAGCTAGAGCTGAGAAAATAATTAGCAGCAAATAATTTCCCCTGAATGGATCATACACATTTAGTTGCTAGTTACATAGGGAAGCCAATCAGGAAACAGAAACAGTATTGCTTGACTTTGTAATTAACTTAATCAATATAAATTTAAAATACTGTATGTAATTGTAATCACTATATTTGCATTGTATAGTTTTGTTGTGTATGTGTCACGAAGAATAAGATATATAAATGGATGTAGGTGTTCAAATGTTGACTGTCACAGTATCTAACGTCTAGGTACCTACCAAACACCACAGGAATACCATTGCAATGCCTCAAGACAAGTTAATCATTTAGGCTTCAATGTCTGGGCAGAGAGAGTTGCCTAGAATATGATCACCAAAGCCCACCTAAGCTACACAATGGCAGATGCCAACCAGAGGGAAGCATGCTAACCCTTGCCCTCCTCAGGCTGCAGGCAGGTGCCTCGCTTCAGCTTAGGGATCCACTAATGGGAACACGGTAATAAGGTGCCTGCCTGCCTTGCACCACACAAAATGGCTGAAAGGAGAAAAGCTGACAGGCTTGTTACTTTTAGCCCAGTGATTAGAGCATTCCCCTGGGATGCAGGAGAAACAGGTTCAGTTTCCCTTCCCCATAAGAGTGTTAAAATGTCTACATCATTAAATATACATTGGGACAGAAAAAGTGTGCAAGTGATTCTACAGTCTAGTGGGTAGGGCACTCACCCAAGCTAAAATCCTTGCTCCAGAACAGAGAAAGAGAGGAATTAACTTGGGGGCACCCACATCCTGGATGAATATTCTCAATCACTGGGCTAAAGGTTATAAGGGAGACATCCAAAGCCTTCTCATCCTGCCATTGTGTGTGGATTTAGGTGTTCTCTGAGAATGCCTACCAGACCAGTCCCCACAGGCAAGATAAGCAGAAAAATGTCTAGCATAAGGATTCCACTGGAGCATAGGCATGAGGTAGGTGTCTAAGTTCCTAGACTGAGGTGGCCGTACAGCTACATTTCTTCCAGTGAGAACCTAACTAAAAAACTTTAATGATGGAAACTCTGGTGCCTGCAGGTTTAGGTGGTAGCTGAGGGCTCTGATGATGATCACAGTGGTTGCCTGAATATTCAAGCTAGCTGCCTAATTCTCTTTGTCAGTCAAGCCAACACATACCTAAGACACTTTTGAAAATGGGGCTACAGCTCTAAAATCTAGGTGCTTTTTGAAAAATTGAGCCTAAGTCTTGTACATTATACTTATAGGCTATGTCTAGACTGGCCACTTGAATTTCCACAAGACAACTTGCCAGCTGTCTACACTGGCCGCTTGAATTTCCACAAGAACACTGACGATCTCATGTAAGAAATCAGTGCTTCTTGCAGAAATACTATGCTGCTCCCGTTCGGGCAAAAGTCCTTTTGTGCAAAAGGGCCAGTGTAGACAGCTCAGATTTGTTTTGCACAAAAAAGCCCTGATCGCGAAAATGGCGATCGGGGCTTTTTTGCGCAAAACCGCGTCTAGATTGGCCACAGATGCTTTTGCGCAAAAAGTGCTTTTGCGGAAAAGCGTCAGTGCCAATCTAGACGCTCTTTTCCGCAAATGCTTTTAACTGAAAACTTTTCCATTAAAAGCATTTGCAGAAAATCATGCCAGTCTAGACATAGCCATATAGTAATAGAAGATCACTCACATATAGTAGGTCTCTTGTGAGAAGATGATCAATCAAACAGCAGGAAAAACAAACCAACAAGAACAGATTTAAACAGAAAAATGAGACTAGTTTAGATTTGAAACAAGTATCAATGATTGTTTCATTCTCCTTTTTATTCAGTTTATATTAACATATTTGGGAAAAATAGTGGTGCTTAATCAATGCTGTATTTATAGGTCTAGATGTTAATTTTAAAATTGGCCACCATGAAATGCAAAATGCTGGGGAAAGATGTGAGTTTGAACATAATACCATTTTTGCTTGATTTTAATACAATTCTTTGTGCCATTGCAAACACTGGGCATGAACATGTAAGGTGCCAAGTGCCCTCAGAACCTATTGATTTGAACTTGTGCACTTAACCACGGCAGCTTTTAAGCGATGCTCAGTTCCTCACAGAATCGCGCCTTCTACACCAGAATCTCTAGGGAGGTTTAGGAGTTCTGACAGATTACTCATTGTATTTAACATGCTTGAGTGACATTAAGAAGTAGCCAGGGGGCTGTGACCTTCTGAACTTATTATTTATCTTTATTTATATTTTGGAGTTGCTTTATAAGATATGTTGAAGAAAACAAAGAAAGCTTCATCCTGGAAAGAATTCATGGATACTGTTCAGCTGTTCCTTAGAGCAGAGATTTTTAGAAAAGCATCAAGAGGAAAAAAAAGATAGATGTGATTACAAAGCTTCCAGTGTAACCTTAGATAAGGGCCTCTTAGGACCTGCTTCTCTGAACTGCATACAAAGATACGCGTTCAATTGCATGACTAAGCAGAATGACAGGGTGTCATGTATAAATCAGGTGTTTATTCACACATGCAAATGTTTTCACTATTGACCATTTGAGTGTGCATTACCAAATTTTGCATGCTCAGCTACATGTAAGAAACATGGAGAAGGAAAAGAAAAAAAGGAAAGAGGCACATGCACAGTCTAGAAAATTAAAACCTCAAGCCCTCTGTGGTTTAGATTTTCCATATGTAAAATAATATCATAGAATACTAGAACTGGAAGGAACCTCAAGAGATCATCAAGTCCAATCCTCTGTCCTTATGGCAAGACCAAGTATGGTCCATATCATCCCTGATAGATAGTGATAGAAATGTAGCCGTGTTAGTCTGGGGTAGCTGAAGCAAAATGCAGGGCAATGTAGCACTTTAAAGACTAACAAGATGGTTTATTAGATGATGAGCTTTCGTGGGCCAGACCCACTTCCTCAGATCAAATAGTGGAAGAAAATAGTCACAACCATATATACCAAAGGATACAATTAAAAAAAATGAACACATATGAAAAGGACAAATCACATTTCAGAACAGGGAGAGTTCAAGTACCCTAACAGTTGAAATTCTCATAGACAGCTTTATGAGAAATTTGACCTTTGTCCAGGACAAAAAGAGGAAAAACAGTGAATGTTGCTATCATGTAAAATTCATGTGGAAGTTAGCTCTTCTTTTGGGGATCATTCAGTGTCCTGCTTCACAGGAACCTTTGTAAGCACTGGAAATTCTATGCTTATTTCGTACCACCAGACAAATGATATTCTCTTTGGGATCATACCCATCTACACATCCGAGGGCTTCACTTTGAACATGCAAAATTACTTCACAGCAGTGCACTTCACTTGTCTGATATCTGTTTTGTGGGCATTAATCCTTTGGCGAAGTGTCTGAGATGTTTGTCCAATGTACATAGCAGACGGACACTTTCGGCACATGATAGC